GACCTGGAGACAGAATGGTCCAAAAAATACAATTTCTGAGCCAAGTTTTAAGACAGAGATAGTCTGGATTAACCTCTCTACGACAGACATGTCTCCCAATCATTTCTCATGTTTTACAGATGGATCCCTTCTGAAGGGGTCAGTAGGTGCAGGGGTGCTGATTTTGCACAACCATAGTCAGAGAGAGCATAAATACCCACTAGGTTGTTTACAACTGTATCTCAAGCTGAGATATATGCAATCCACCAATGTGTGGCATCATTTTAGCAACTTCTGCTATTTTACTAAGCACAAAAAGTCAGTAAATCAGTGTTTGGTGGATAATTTATTTGTAGTCTGTTAATTTCTCTTTGACATGATGCCATGTACAGTACATGCATTTGTGGGATGAGCAGTGGAGATGGTATGTGGGTTGWGTATATGAAGAATTTGTCAGATCTTCTCTGACTGATGTTGACATTTGGTTTGAGCTTCTGTCACAGCAAAAACAGGAGTGTTAAAATTTCAGTGTTAAACTTTTGGGTGTTGATTTAACACTCCCTAGTGTTATTTTAACACTTTCTGAGTACACTCACACCCAGTGTTGGTGTTAATTCACAGTGTTGATTTCCTCAGTGTTGTCTCAACACTGGACAGTGTTAAATAAGCTCCACCCACAGTTAAGTTGTATATAACACTTAACAGTGTTGTTATATGACACCATGCAGTGTTGAAAGAAGTATTGTGTAAAGCCCCGCCCTCTTCCACCTCGTGCCAGACAGACCAGCATTTACCCAGCATTCCTTGCTGAGAAATCTTACAGAAATGATGTGTTTGTATGTTTATGACTATTAAAAACATTCATGAGAGTAAAAATTAGTTGTTCTGATTTGTTTTTTGTTCAGTTTTATCAAGTTGTTCAACTTTAAGTTTATGTTTTTGGCCAAAAATTGACACCATGAGTGAGAGGTACTTTCAGCTGTGTGAAGGATGACTCCATTACACTTTTCTACTAACTACTGAGAGTTGGTAATAAGTCTGAGTGTTAAATTTTCACTCTCAGTTTGATGGTGTATTAAAATCTTGTGGTGTCTGTTAATCTTTCAAACTCCACGATTTCCTTTGTTAATAATAATAATACACTGGTGTTACTTTTAACACTATATTTTAACACTAACACTATTTTTATGTTAATGTGACACCCAGTATTGTTGAATAATTAACACTGGTTGGTGTTAAATTAACAAAAAAATGAGTGTTAAAATTTAACACTTTCACAAATGTTATTTTAACACCAGCGAGTGTGGACACATATAGACACTGTTGGTGTTAAAATTAACACTGTGGGTGTTAAATTAACACTGGCATTTTTGCTATGGTTCCCCCAGGTGCTCCTGATAAGGTACTGCTATAACATTTATTATATTTTATATATTTAATAATTCCAAACTGAAACAGCATATCAGACACATGAATAAAAGTTAAATGATGTTTATTTACAAGTGAATATAGTAATCCAGGAACTGGAGGCTTTACCCAGTGCTGAACAGGACCAAGCTGACGTCTCATCTACAGCCTGGATGATTTTAGGAGCTGCAGTGGTGCTGCGGCTCTGTACCAGCTCCTCATGTGGAACAATCTGCAGGACACCTCAGAGACTGACTGGTCGTTCAGACTCATCAATTTGAAAAACATTTGATTTTTATCTTTCAGACTGTCAGGAAAATCAGATTTGGTCACATTTTCCTGCAGTGTGAATGCAATGATAGTGTGCTGGATGACCATTTTTTAAATAATAAATTAATAGTATAAATCTAAAAGCTGCCACAGATATATTATCAACATATTTAATGGCACATTTGACCTAACCACTGAAAACATGGGTGAAATAAGAAAAATGAAACATAAAATACAGTAAACATGTCATGTTTATAGACGTAAAGTCCTGATATGCATTTTAAATAAAACTGTTCTTGAACAGTTATTTTCTGAAATTAAAAATACTTTTAAAAAATATGATTATCACAACATATATGTTTATATTTACATTTCTTTATCCTTGTGTTTACTGAAACCATCAGCAGCTGAAAAGTTGTAAAGAAAAAAAACAAACATTGTGTTGATTAGATAATTTTTAATTCTGTTACATGAAAATAGCAGAAACAAAATTAAATCGTGTTTAAGTGGATGTAACTCAAATAAGAAAATAAGAAATATTGTTTGACGTCATGATTTATGCATTATGTCATTAAGCCCCGCCCCCGACAGCTGCAAGTATTTTGGAGGGGCTGAGTTGGCAGCTCTACCTGCCAGATACTGATCATTGTGACCCAGGTGTTTGTTGAGCGTCTCACTCCCTGACCCTCCAGGTGAGTCATGACTGACAGGAAGATGTTGTGTCAAATGTTATTTTGATGTCAGTGAAAAGACTTTACCAATGCTCWGACCTGCAGGCAGGGGATTATACAACCATCAAATGAATTCAGATGGCAGCACTTTGACTTTATAATCATCATGTCACTTCACATGTGGGAAGTAATGAGTCTGAAACTGCATTCTGCATCTGCTAAACTAAAAGCACTCGAGGCACTTCCTGCTGCTGTCATTAATCCTGAGGCTCATGGTTAACAGATGTGGCTCCATCAAAGACGAACAGAGGCTAAATTAAACCCGTCACCTGCATGATGGACAACATTTGCTTATTAGCAGGACTGGAAAGAGTTCTACAATAATGTACTCAAGTAAAAATACAGTTACTCTGCTGAAATCTTCAAGTATAAGTAAAATTACTTGTGTAAAAATCTGCTCAAGCAAAAGTAAAAAGTAAGACATTAAATATTCACTCATAGTAAAAGGTTGTTACATTTTTAACAACAGAAGAAGGTCTTTCATGTATGATGCAATGAGAACAAGAAGATTTTTCATGAATTCTTCATTTAAAGGTACAGTCTGTAGGTTTTGTTGTTTTCAGCGACATCTAGTGGTTGAGTGGTTGAATCATCCTCCCTGGTCCTCCCTCCACCTCCACCCCCCGCTTCCAAACGCAAAGGAGTTGCCACGGTGTCTCTCAGGTGTCAAAAACCTTTGATAATTCCAACCGCGATGTCTACCAGCAGCTTCAGGACTAGTGATGTTTCAAGTGGTAAGATTATGAGCTTTAATAAGTAAAATTATCCCAGCTACAATGACAGACAACAAATTTTATAACATTACAACTAAAACCGTTTTTGACACTGCCACCGCAGTTTGTCCTTCATGAGCCTCCGTAGACAAGATGGCAGTGCAAGAT